TCCAGGCTCCATTTCTGCCTCCGACACAGAGCCCTCATCCGAGCCTTTCCCAGACTCCAGGACTGGCCCATGTTCCTCCCCAACTTCCTCACTGTCCGACTCTGCTGCCAGCTCCACAGGCCACTGGTGGGCCACAACAAACCCTCTGATCCATGTGAATATCCATATTGAGACATCTCTAATGGTGGGCTGGCTGGTTTGTGCTTCAGGGCAGTGGGCAATCTGCTGAAATCTGCTGTGGTGAAGGCCATTAATTTAGATGGGTTAGACCAACTGAGATTACAGATTCAAGAAAGCAGCTCTTCTTGATGGCCTTTGAGTACCTCTAGAATCCGTAAATACATACAGTTGTTGCGGCCCACCACTGGCAGCAGTCGGACAGTGAGGAGGTTGGGGAGGAACATGGGCCAGTCCTGGAGTCTGGGGAAGGCTCGGATGAGGGCTCTGTGTCGGAGGCAGAAAGGGCCAGGGCTGTCTGACAGTTATCAGCTGCCTTTGGAGTCAGACATCAGTAAGGCAGAAGAACAGCTGGAGTCTGTTCCCAGTGTGCCCATGAGCAAAGTTGCCAGACCAAGGGAACAGCTAAAGAACAGAGGTCGACTTGGGAGTAAGGCCACAGGTGGACGATGAATGGCCCCTCCATTCAGGAGCGAAAGGGGAGAGGAGTTTGCAGGAGACCATCAGTTTGCTTAATTGGTTCGTGACTCTCCGAGACTCCTGGCCAAGTTCTGCAGATATCTGCTTGGCAGTTCTCCAAGCCAGGTAAGATCTGTGACTGTAAATCCTCCCTCGGAAGACTTTGCTGGATGTGAATGAGCAGAATTCACGGTCAATTAATAAAAGGGGTTTTGTCAGGACAAGGAGTTTGCTTCATGTTCTTGGAAAGTCTTGGTCAGAACAACAGATAGTACCACCACCAACACCCCAGTATCCATGCTTCTGAGCTTCCTCGGGACCCTTGATTGGCTATTCTGTGAGAAGACAGTCTGGACCATCTGTTTTTTGCAAGTGGAACCTCCATATTCAAAGTTCTGTGAAGAGGAGCAATATTTCTGTTCCGAATTCTGAGTTCTGAGTTCCGAGTTGCAAATTCCAAATTCTGCATTCCATGTTCCATGTTCCAAAATCTGAATTCCGAGTTCCAAGTTCAGACTTCCATGTTCCGAGTTTTGAATTCCGAATTCTAAATTCCGAGTTCCAAATTCCAAATTCTGCTGTCTGCATTCTGCGTTCTGAGTTCCAAATTCCAAATTCCTTGTTTGGCGTTCCCCACTCCGCGTTCCGCATTCCAAATTTTTAATTCCGCATTCTGCGTTCCAATTTCTTAGTTCTGAATTCTGAATTTTGAATTCCTAGTTCCGAATTCCTAGTCTATCTTAGGGGATATATGGAGAGGCATAATGAGATCCGTTGCCCTTCTGGTATATTCCAGATTTCCAAGAGGAGAAGCAGAGAACATGAGTTTACCCTGATTTGGTCGGATCCGGCCAGTCATCCCAATCGAAAGGAAATAGTTCTGTAGAGGAGAACTCTACAGAAGAGGAGTAAGAATTTGGGGCTAAGGGAGGGCTCTGTCCATCTATTAGAGGCTCATGTTGGTGTTCCGAGTAACGCACCCATTAAAAGCAGAAGTCCAAGGCAGGCAAATTCCTCAAAGAACAATTTATTGGATGCATCCTATTGGCACAACTGGTGAAAGCCGACTCTAAAAGTTTCTGCGGCTTTCACCTAATTAAAAGTGAAAGTTTCCCCTTTCCCCCAGGTAGCACTGGTCACGCTGTCCAATCCAGTTTCTGGCCGGTTGTTTGGTTACTTCGCTCTTCCTCTGGCCAGCCGTCTGTGAGAACGTAATGTTTATTAGATGCATCAAATCGGCACAGCCATTTGAAAACCAACTCTGAAAAGTTCCCTCCCCCTGTAATAGCATAATAAAATAGCAATTGACCCCCCCCTCCTTTATGGTCACAGGTCACATTCTCCACTCAGAATGTTTGCTGGGCTCCTTGGGTAACTTTTCCTCTCCCTCAATGGCCATCTGTATATTTGACCTTGGTTCTCAAGAGAAAGCTTTTTGTTTTGACTGCTAGCTAGGTTATCATGTCCCCCCTACCTCTACTACCCTGTTCCCCCCCTCCAAAAAAACCTAACCGGAAAATAAATCCTAGCATGATTTTTCAGGATGCTCGTAATATAAGCCCTACCCCCCAAAATAAACCCCAGTTAAGATTGTCAGCCAGATGTGCATTTAGTACCGTATTTCCCGAAAATAAGACCTAACCAGAAAATAAGCCCTAATTCATCTTCCGGAGCAAAAACTAATATAAGACCCAGTCTTATTTTCGGGGAAACACAGTAGTTTGTGACAACTGTGAAGCAGCAGAAGATGGCTTCAGCCAGGTTCTCTTCAGAGTTGACAGCTCGTCTTCCTTCCACATTGCTTGGAGGGGGTAGACCACCCTTGGCCAGGATCCGTTGGCTTAATGATAGATAGTCCACCTTGGACTTCTGTTTAATGACAAGCTTTTTTTCGTCAGCCCTGCTGCCTCCGGTAAGATAACTCTCCAACCTAAGGAGTTTATTTTCTAATTAAACAAGACAGGAAAACAAGCGGGATGGGAACGCCAACGCAAAGGCAGCACACCAGGTCATATGGCAGAAATATTGCGGGCGCCGTCGGGGGTCCTGAAGGAGAATTAGCCATTGACGCAACCTCAACGTTTTGACAAGCACTGCAAGAAGCTGGAAAACACATTGCGGGGCCCTCAATGCATCAGATTGTTTGTCAAACACGAATCGGTGGAAAGGTGGCAGGAAACCCCCAACTCTTAAAAAGTTTCCTAGCTGGTTTTCTGCATCTTGTTGGGTTGGCCGTCAATGTCATCCCGTAGGGTTGGCCATCGTCTTTGCTGCCCTTCCCTTTGTGTCTTAAACGTCTCCTGCAAACTCTGAGATTTTAGGGTGCTTCTTTCAAGGGGGAGGGGGGGCTAAAGGGCGTGGCATTTCCGAGGTACTGTGATCCCCAAGCTGGAGGCAACCCTCCTTTTTAATCTCCCTCGTTTTCCATTTTCAATTTTTATTGAACGTCTCCGGTGTGTTTTTCCAAGGCTGCGAGAATTTTCCAGCGCAGGTCACTCAGACGAATCCAGTGCCGCCATTGATCAGACTTCGGCAAGATTTTTCTCCGGTACAATTACTTATTTATTCCCATCCTTAATATATGCAACCTTCTACTCTCTTCTTGCTCCGTTAAGTGTTCCCAGGTGGCGCCTTTAAAAAAATGCAATACCGAAGGCTAAGAACTCAATAAGGAAGGCTGCTTCTCCAATTGATTCAGGATAGCTCGGTGAAAGGTGTGTGTTTTTCAGGTGTTTTAAAAGGAGGGGGAGGTCAAACGCCGGGGCTAAGAAATTCAATTCTCTCCTTGCTAAAAACCAAGGAGTTGTTCTTGTGTGTGCCTGGAGGGTTTTAGTATCAGGATTGAGCTGTTGGATTCAAACGAAGGAGTTGCAGGTTTAAGCTCACCTCTTCCTGGAAATACCTGGGCGGGTTTTACTCCCATCATGATGCGGTGGCCTACCAGCAGCCAACGAATCTAGCAGCAGATTCAGGCAGTGAGGAGGTTGAGGA